TCTGCGCCAGGCCCCTGACTGGCAACAGCGTCCCGGTACGGTAGGAGGAAAAGTCCAAGCAACAGCCCAGGGCTCTCCAGGCAAATGCACAGAAAGTAAGTGCAGCATGAAAGGCTCAGTGATCGGACCGACCTGTAAGTGGGCGTAAGGTTCCCCCGAAACAGCATGGCGCCTCCGGACAGCGTAGTGACTCTTACAATATCCCAGTCATGACCTTCTCAATCAGTGAAGAATAGTTTTTGTCTACTCGTGGGCCCTTCACTTTCGCTTGCGACTAGTCTTGGATGCCTAGAATCCCAACGATGCACAATTTTACTGTGTCTTATGTTAAAAAATGCATGTTTACGCCCAGCTTTGGGCCCCTTCGTCCGGCTTTGGGCCCCTTCAGCCGACTTTGGGCCTCTTCGGGGAGATATTTATATGCCCCCTCCATGCCCATGGGCATGTCATGCCCCTTCCCAAATGGAGATGGGGCATGAATTCGTGACCCTCCACTCAATCCGCCCCCAGCCCTACGCCAGCCCTGGCGACGCTGGACTGGCGATTTCAAACTCTCTGCCAGTGTGGCGTTGGCGTTGACATCTAGTGGTGGCATGGGGGTTTAACAAAGTGCCGATGAGTAGTGCGCAGGTACATAGTTCCATGCATTGTGGATCAACTGTAAATGGCAGTGTGAAGCAGTGTGGGCCAGCTGTAAATGACTATGTCAAGCAGTGTGGGCCAGCCGTCAATAACGTCATCATTGACGGCTGGCCCATGCTGCCTGGCACTCAATAACTGCGCATCATCTATCGGCTTTACAAGGCAATGTCAGCCGCAGTGGGTGTAGGCCAGGATAGAATTGGACAAATCCTTATAACGAGATATGACAAAATGGCGATAGCAATATAGCAAGATATGACAGAACGTGGAGGGACCCAGACCCGGACTGAAAGGAGCGTGAGAGCCAGGAAGATGGAAGGAAAAGCTGGTGGAAGAGGGCCAGGTCTGGGAGATCTCTGTGCTAGGCGCCGAAGTCTCTCGTTGGCCGGGAAGTGGTCCCCTTCTGGCGGCGCGCTGCCAGGTCTCCTGGTTGGTGCGAATGATCATGGCCTGCCAATAGCAGATACCCCTGATGGCTTTCAAGGAGAACCCGGCTGTTTGAGGCTCTTCCGGCCTTTAAGGAGTTCTCCTACTGATATGTCAGACGTGCCTGTTAAAGGAAATGCTGCTACCTTGAAGTTCTTTACTAATGTATCCTGAAATAAGCAAACTGTGAAGCTGATGCCGGTGCCGCCCTGGCTTTTGCCGCTGCCAGCAGCCGCAGTATAGCAGGGCGCGAGCTTGGTGGCGGAGTCATCAGGTCATCAGGTCATCGAACATTCGCCAGCTAGAGTGGCACGCGCATGCGCGGTGCCGGCCGTGACGCCGCGTGTCCCTGCACGTGCTCATAATGTCTTCTTGTTTTCTCTTCCTCTCTCCTTTTCTTTATCTCGCAATAGGTGGACTGGCATGCATTCGTTACATGTTTACTTCTGAGACTTGCTAATATATAAAAGTAAAAAGTACTTGATGTAAAAGTCCTCGTGCCTTGATGGCCCTTTCGTTCATGACTTTATTTTTGAGTTTCAAAAGTCCTTTGCAACGTCATGTTTACATCACGCGGCATTTATGTAACCACATTCTCCTTTGAAGCCGGGTACCCTTCCTATGTCGTTTTTGGTTTAAATTATTGAGCAACTTACGTACATCACTAGCAGCGACATACGATTCATCATAGGCAGTTCTGGCGTTGCGCAGCGGCAGACAACGTACAACCTCGGAACACTCAGATCCATATTTGCAGCGTCTCAGTTGTCAAAATAAGAAGAAAAACAGAGTTCCAACTCGACGTAACTAAATATCTTTTCACCCGGGAGACTTCCTGGTCGGAGGCTTAGCCCCCCCCCCCCCCCCCTCTTAGATAAGTTATGGGTGAGTCGGTGCTCTGAAGAGTCGATCTCACCCCTGACTCAATGAGAACCGGATATCGCTGGAGACACGAAGTGTACCGCAGCTGCAATCACATTGCCTTACATACCGATGCAAACAGCGGGTTTCTGGCTTACTGCTCGTGCATTTGGGAATTAGGTGAGTGGGAGCGCGTGGTAAATGTATGGGAGCGGTCACCTTATCTTAAGGTGGCCCCGGCGGCCACAAAATGGCAAACGTAGCTGACGCGCCCGAAAACCGCAATCATCATCATCCTAACCGGGCCCCATGAGGCAGTGCGTGGGATTCAGTCTGCATACACTGAACGGTATTCGGCTGGGAACGTGAACGGTAATGGGAGCTCGAAAGACCCTACTGCATCACACAAACCTTTCACTTGAGTGATCCTGAAGCCTTAGCAAGAAACAATGGATTACGTCCCGCCAAATATTCATAACGTTCCCTAAAATAATTATTTCCTGCCAATATTGATAAATCACACCGCACCCGATGGCCCACCACCCCCGGGCCGTACACGACCGGCTGAGCACCCATCAGGATGCCGGCCGGCCGCGCGGCAGTGCGCCGCCGCGTGCCTCATTTGGTCCTGCAGTCTGTCACGGCGCCGCTGAAAGGCGGCAGCGATTACGCATTCGAGCCGCGCGCCTTCCGCGCCGGTTACGAGCCCATTCCATTAAACGGCGCGGCGGCGGCGGCGGCGGGCTCCTCCGCCGAGATGGCGACCCCGGCGCCAAGAATGCCGTTGCCCGGCCCGCTCATATCGGCACCACTCGCGGCCGAAATAAACAGAACGGCGCGCAATAAAGACGGAGACGCTGCCCCGCCCCATCCCCGCCGGGCGGACCGGATTGGCGGAGACGCTGCCCCGGCCCCATCCCCGCCGGGCGGACCGGATTGGCGGAGAGGGCAACCCAGGCCTTCACCCTGCCGCGGCCTTTCTAAGACAGCGCGGGGCTCTGTGCGCCGCGCGAGATCTGGCTCCTACTAAGTTTATGGAGATTCTGGTTGAATGATCCATTTGTTTTGCGTTTCGTTTTGGGGTTTTATGCGTGCCGGAATCGATATCGGCGTCTATTAACACGTGGTGTCTGGGATGAAAGGGAAAGACCAAATAAACGAAGCTTTTGCATGACCACCTACGCTTACGTTATCAGATGAATTTGTCAGCAGCAGTGTGGTAGCCAAAGGGGAGCTCTGGGGGTTATGCCCCCGCCTGAAAATGTTCTCTCAGGCTGGATTTGGTGTCCCTCCCCGGGGCGAGCTCGGTGTCCCTCCCTGGTGCGAGCTGGGTGTCCCTCCCCGGGCCGAGCTGGGTGTCCCTCCCCGGGCCGAGCTCGGTGTCCCTCCCCGGCCCGAGCTCAGTGTCCCTCCCCGGCACGAGCTCGGTGTCCCTCCCCGGTACGAACTCGGTGTCCCTCTTCGGTCCGAGCTCGGTGTCTCTCCCCGGTCCGAGCTCAGTGTCCCTCCGCCGTACAAACTCGGTGTCCCTCCCAGGGCCGGGCTCGGTGTCCCTCCCCGGGCCGAGCTCGGTGTCCCTCCCAGGGTCGAGCTCGGTGTCCCTCCCAGGGCCGGGCTCGGTGTCCCTCCCCGGGCCGGGCTCGGTGTCCCTCCCCGGCCCCTACGAGCAGTGCATCTCCGGCATCCGTGCGCTGTCTCTAATAATACGGCGGAGAATCGATAATAGCGTGAGCGGCAGCGAGCCCGTATCGGCCGGCCGGGCCGCGGCACAAACGGCGCCAACGGCACAAACGACGCAGACGGCACCGCCGTCCGGCCCCCGGCACCGACCGCGGCACCGGAGACGCCGCGTGACCGACGACAGCCGGCCACCCGTCAGCCGACAGACAGCCATGTTGCGATTGGCACATGGTGGTGTTGCAAGTGACAGGCCGCGCGTCGCATGCTGCGTAGCATTTTTTGACAGACGAGAGGCAGTGACGTGGTGTACATTGAACATGCCATGGTATGTGGCAGATGGTGCACTACATGACGTGGCATGGCATGATGTCAATGCTCTTGTTCACTCGTTCAGCAAAGTAAGTCACTGAAATGCTTGTTGTTTCCAACAGCATTATGAGCAGCTGCTTTGTGACCCTACAATGCCAACGATCAACATTACTAAAACACAAATCACTACCTGATTGTAGTCTTTCGTTGGACGGGGGGGGGGGGGGGCATCTTGCGCCGTCTTACTATCGTGAGAAGGGAACATGCTGAAGGTAAGGGGGAAACACATCGAATATCTCGTGCAGAACTGCGTCAAGTTAGTGACCTGTGTGAGCAGTCATGTATGCCATGTCAAAGGTTTGTCATGCATTGCAAGGGGCACCGAATCATGCACCAACGGTAAGCCTATGCTGATGTCTCAGAATGAACAATCGGGTCACACCGAACAAGAGTTGCATGCGTGGGCTCTCCTCACCCGGCTGTGAGCCGGGCGAGGGTCACGCAAGAGCTAAGTGTGGTAAGGCAATGACAAAATTAGCCTGGATAGCGCTAGTCAAACTTTGCCATACATTCGTAAATATGGCTTGAAATACACCAAACATGGAATGCAAGAATATACGAAACATTTGTGTAGATTATAAACTGGCCCACCTTACCTATGTTGAACTTGAGCGACCTAATCCAATCGTATTTTTAGAATAGCGTAATCGTGTTCTGTGCCCGGATAAAACGGGCCGGTGTAAAAACGCATGTGCTGGAGAACCGTCAGTTGACAGCTGGTGGGCCGTCAAACGCGGCTGACATGACGTCAGCAAGTGGGACTTCTCATGAACTGTGACGACAGCACTGCACACTTTACAGAATGATTAAAAACACTTCAAACTCAATTTCAAAACAATTTTGCAGCCTGCGCTAAGCGGTTCGAAGTTTCTTCCGGAAAGCCCCGGGCAGCCCCTGAGGCCTCCCGCCCTTGCGAAGGTCAAACAGAGCCGGCAGGCCAACGTCCGTTCATCGTCGCAGATTGGACCTGCCGGCGTGTCCGTGCCTTGGTATCCTATCTAAGCCGCAGCTTCATGACTCACCTGTTGGTGAGTGGTCCAACGAAGGGGTTGGTGACGAGCTGGACGGCCGCCTTGGAGGCGAACATGACGCCCACCTCCACGTTCTCCTCCACCAGCTCCTTGTGCTTGATCTGCTCCTCGCTCAGCGTCGTAGTCTCGGCCGTTGTTGAAGGCAGCGTTGAGACGGACCAGTTACCTTGCGGTTAGAGAGAATGCGTAGGCAATCCTTCTTTGCAATTTAAGCTAATGTGAGTGGAGGCAAGCCAATAAAGCTAGCACATGCAGTACCGCGCTTTAATTCTAGATAAATATCCAAAGGCCAGAAGAGAGGTGAGGTTTTGCGAAATATATTCGGGGGCTGAACAGGGAAACGTGACTAATGCCATCCACACAAATTATGAGAAAAGTAGGGTTTCCGCAGATTTCATACACTGTCTTGTTACAGTTGGGGGGGGGGGGGGGGGGGGGGGGGGGAGAGATTGGAGCCCTTCAACTGGATAGAAAGCTACACGACTGGTCGACATGTCATTTATCTGAGGGCTGATCACTCCGCAAATGGCGATGGGCACAGCCCTAACATTCTTCCACCACGCGACAAAGGATAGCAAAGCCACCTCGTTTATAAAGCATAATAAAACAACTGCGAGTTACGAGATCTACACTAGCACGAGTAACAAAGCGTACGTGAGCCAGGGCCTAGCAGAACAACAACAAAAAGAAACAGCAGGGCGCAAGAAAGAAACCAATCTGTAGATGCTTGAAGGCTCACATCAGTCCCAGCCAATCCCAGCCAGTCCAGCTCCACTCCGACTCAGACTGACCGGCCGTTCCTCCGGGATCCTCCCCGGCCGGCGGCAGCCCCAGCTGACTGCGGGTGCAGTTGCAGCCGGTCACCAGCGTCGCTGACGTCACTGGTGCGCTGGATGAAGTCTCTGGCGCGGCCGTGGTGGCCGCCGGTGGCGGTGGCGGCGTCGAACTGGGTGTGTTCGCCGCGGCGGCGGCCGGGCTGTCGTTCCGGTGGTGGAGAACGTACAGAAACTCCGGCATAATGGGCACTGGAACAAAGCCGAGCGACTAACACGAGCCCACGCGCCCACCGTGGCATGCTGCAACAGCTGGCTGACCCGTACAGATAGCGTAACGTGGTCATGCACGCGTCTATGGCTGAATACTGAGAGCTTGACACGCGACAATGTTGTATGAAGCTTTGAGAAAGCAGAGTTTTCACAAACTCAGTATTGGTGATCGCTGTATTTGGTTTAAATGAGTAGCACTCCCTGGATCTGCGATGCTTTAGTTTGATGAATATGACCATGGGCTATTCATCACAACGGTATATGTACTTCCGGGTCATGTGCGGTCACCACGAATGGAGAGGAAAGTGCGTAACCACAAGTGCCCGTTCATGAAAGCAGCGCAATCTTTCGTACGGTACTTGCTCTTGCAGAATTACTCCGAATCAATGGCCTGACAATTTCTTGCACCGTTTCAACATGCGACAACTGGAGCGAATTAGTTATGTTATTTTGAGCCTGGGTACAACCACGAGGAGGCTGTTGGACATGGCATCCAGTTTTTCAAAGCTGGGAACCATGCTCGTCAAAGCAAGCTTGCATTTACTCAATAGTATTACATCGGCCCAGTTTGTTAATTTCAGTGGCACTCATTGGCAAAACCCTTCTCAATAGACACCCCCACATTTAACCTCCAAGCGGCCCTGTGTGGCTAGTACAACGCTTTTGGCTTAAATTTCCAAACCAACAGCATGAGGTGAGGCATTTTCTCAGCCCCTTTGGCCGATTCATGTGCAGCTGCCACGCGAAGACAGGTGCATGTGTTATCGCCAGCTACTGCCCTCACCGACAGTGGTGAGCAGCATGTTGTCGAGCAGGAGTGCGATGGCGACAATGATGAGCACCAGGCGGCGCGACTCCCTGCACCGCTGCAGGAAGCCGCTCTGCTGCTCCAGCACACCCATCCTGTCGGCCCGCGGTCACCTGCTGACCCAGAGTACAGACCAGGGGTCAGCGACAGACACACACCCAAGTCTGCTGTATCGAGGACACCTGCTGACCCAGGGTACAGGCCAGGGGTCAGCGACGGACACACACCCAACTCTGCTGTATCAAGGACACCTGCTGACCCAGGGTACAGGCCAGGGGTCAGCGACGGACACACATCCAGCCCTGCTGTATCAAGGACACCTGCTGACCCAGAGTACAGGCCAGGGGTCAGCGACGGACACACATCCAGCCCTGCTGTATCGAGGACACCTGCTGACCCAGAGTACAGGCCAGGGGTCATCGACGGACACACATCCAGCCCTGCTGTATCGAGGGCACCTGCTGACCCAGGGTACAGGCCAGGGGTCAGCGACGGACACACATCCAGCCCTGCTGTATCAAGGACACCTGCAGACCCAGAGTACAGACCAGGGGTCAGCGACGGACACACACCCAACTCTGCTGTATCGAGGACACCTGCTGACCCAGAGTACAGGCCAGGGGTCAGCGACGGACACACACCCAACTCTGCTGTATCGAGGACACCTGCTGACCCAGAGTACAGACCAGGGGTCAGCGACGGACACACACCCAGCCCTGCTGTATCGAGGACACCTGCTGACCCAGGGTACAGGCCAGGGGTCATCGACGGACAGCACACCTATCCTGCCGGCCCGTGGTCACCTTCCGATCCAGAGAATAGGCCAGGGGTCAGCAACGGACACACATCCAGCCCTGCTGTATCAAGGACACCTGCTGACCCAGAGTACAGGCCAGGGGCCAGTGACGGACAGCACACCCATCCTGCCGGCTCGCGGTCCCCTGCTGACCCAGAGCACAGACTAGGGGTCAACGACGAACAGCACACCCATCCAACCGTAGCGGGAACATCTGCTGACCCAGGATATAGAACGAGTGACCGGGGGGGGGGGGATGAATGTCATATCCATTTTCTTCGATCACTCCCTGACACAGAGAGTACAGCCTGAGCGGTCAGCCGTCAAGGGCTAACAGCACACCATCGCGAGAGGAGAGCAAACAGCGTGTGCCCAACGGGTATTGGGGAGAAAAATGTGCGTTCTTCACAGCAGAAGGGGCAGCAGTGTTAACTGAACGCGCGGCATGCGTCTTTCGGAGTGTTTCTCAGGTTCCGGGCACTACAGAAAGACGCACATGGATGGGGCCGCCACTAAATTAATCCCGAAGGCGCACTGGCGTAATCGTAAATCAGATGGATGACACCGGAGAGGAGGTAATAAGATTACGCTCGACAGTGTATTGAGTGCAATCATAAGAGACATTGCGGCTATTTGGTTCCCTTCGGCTGCCACGTGTACTGCATTACGGTCTGTTCTCGCCTCGCGATGCGCCAATGGCCTGGTTCTGGGTCTGATGACCCGTAGCCGCATTAGTCGGCAATGAACGGCACGACATCTTGCCATGATTGCTGCAATCGCGCCTAGTGCCCGCCAGGAGCCGCCTGATGAAGCGTCGCCAGGGCGTCTCTCCCGGGAGCTGAGCAGACCGCTGGCACCAGGCGGCGACCCGCCGAGACGCGCAGCGCTGCCTTCGACGGCCCATTTGTCGCGAGACGACGGCGTCCGGTGAAGCGCGCAGACCGTTGGAGATTGGGGCATCGATCGCCCGGCAGCTGCACGGCCCGGCCGGGATCTGGACCCGCCGTAACGACGTGGATAACGATCGGCAGGCCGGCGGGCGACCCGGTGATCCGGTCAGCCGCCCGTCAACAGACCCGGCCGGCACCGGCGCCGCAGCGGCCGCCGGCACGGGCCGCGGCTCGCCGGTGATCCGTTCAGCCGCCCGTCAACGGACCCGGCCGGCACCGGCGCCGCAGCGGCCGCCGGCACGGGCCGCGGCTCGCCGGTGATCCGGTCAGCCGCCCGTCAACAAGCCCGGCCTGCACCGGCGCCACAGCGACCGCCGGCACGGGCCGCGGCTCGCCGGTGATCCGGTCAGCCGCCTGTCAACAGACCCGGCCGGCACGGGCGCCGCAGCGGCCGCCGGCACGGGCCGCGGCTCGCCTTTCGTGGCCGCTGTTTGCTCGCGCGCCTCCTCAATCAGCGGGTGGCGGCGCGGCGAGGTTCCGCCGACTCCGTCTCCTCACGCGCGATTGTTTGGCCTCGCCGCCGCAGTTGCGATTGAGTTACTGCTCCGCTGGCGGGAGCGCCCGGGCGCTGAGCACTCGCGTCGAGGTGGTGCTGAGCCGGGGGCGCCCCAGAAATGAAAAGCAACTTGCCGTTGTGGAATGGTAGCCATAGACTTGCTTAGAGAACGTCCTGTCGTGCATTTATGGTTTGAGTGTAGCGACCCATGACCCAATCGTGAACTCCTCATATCAGAATATGACCCCGAACTGCAGTCGCGAAACACTACTCTGGAACCACATAAGAATGACGCGATAAAAAGTGGTGCAGTACGGTCGCTGGAAGTCGAGCGTATTGCCCGCCAAAAAAAAAACACCATTTAGGCGGCACTTGATTATGATGCCAGTAAGGCATTGCATAAGATATTGCAAGGTGGCTCCTGTGAGAGGGCATAATGTAGAAAATGACCTTCTACACGAGGTGATTGGAAACAGCAAAATAGAGAGCAACTGGGTTTTAGAGTACCACCTGGTTAGGGTGTCAACGGAGTGGTAAGACGTCAAGAGGTTTAAGTGCTTCGTGCACGTCATAATCAGGCTAGCACGAAATGTCACACATAAACATGAAATATTGGCATCATCCTTACCGCAAAATTTTGATAAAAAGTTTGAAACGTCCACCTCACTGAAGCAGTGCAAATGTACGTGAGTGAAATGATAATCTTAAGACATAAGCTTGATGTATGCGCATGTTCTCAGGTTGTGCATGAGTTTTCTCTTACTCTAGCCCTACGAGTGGGGGGTGGGGCCCAGGAGCCCTCACTAAGGTCTCTCTCTCTCTCTCTCTCTCTCTCTCTATCTCTCCTCTCTCTCTCTCTCTCTCTCTCTACTCTCTCTCTCTCCTTCCCTCTCTCCTCTCTCTCTCTTCTCTCTCTCTCTCTCTCTCTCCCCTCTTCTTCTCTCTCTCTCTCTCTCTCTTCTTCTCTCTCTCTCTCTCCTCTCTCTTCTCTCCCTCTCTTTCTCTCCCTCTTTCTCTCTCTCTCTCTCTCTATCTCTCTCTTTTCTCCCTCTCTCTTCTTTTCTCGGCTGCTGCTCAGTCGACAGCATTCCCGAGACGAAGCTGAAAAAGCTGGCGTACTCGATCCGAGACGAGGCTGAAGAACCTGGCGGAACTCTATCCGTATCGGGACTGGAGAAGTTGGCGGTACTCTATCCGGGACGGGGCTGAAAAGCTGGCCGTACTCTATCCGAGATGAGGCTGGAGAAGTTGGCGGTACTCTATCCAAGGCGAGGCTGGAGAAGCTGGCGGTACTCTATCCGAGACGAGGCTGGAGAAGCTGGCGGTACTCTATGCGAGACGAGGCTGGGGAAGCTGGCGGTACTCTATCCGTATCAAGGCTGGAGATGCTGGCGGTACTCTATCCGCATCGAGGCTAAAGAAGCTGGCGGTGCTCTATCCGTACCAAGCTGAAGAAGCTGGCGGTACCCTATCCGAGACGAGGCTGGAGAAACTGGCCGTACTCTATCCGCATCGAGGCTGAATAATCTGGCGGTACTCTATCCGAGACGAGGCTGGAGAAGCTGACGGTACTCTATCCGGGAAGACGCGGTCAGCGACGCCATTTGTAATTCTGATACACAGCGGCTGAGTGTCCTGGAAATAAATGCACGCCACGCCCTGAGATACCAGCCCAATTACAAAGTCTGAGTGGACACAATCCTAGATTTATAGAGGGCCTCTGCCAGATAAGAAGAGCGAGGACCTGCGCACGGGGGCTCCCTGCGGTACAGGGCCCGCCCCGTCAGTAAGTGCGAATGAGCACAGCATTCCCACTGGGAATATTCCCAGCGTTTGGGGTGAACAGTGGCGGCAGGATCTGAAACGTGATACGTCTGCTCATGTGCAGGGCTGTAGGAGCTGGAGTCAGAAGCCTGCGCAAGTTCTCCCAGATTTCTCCCAGAGTTTGCCGGGTGACCACTGATTGGTCTCGTACCCACTGACATTGCGCAGAATACAAACAACGTTTGGTTGTTTGTACGGACGAACGACTGCAGATGAAATCTGCCTATCGCTGTAGGGATCTCTGTGGATGCAAAACGCGGTGTATGGAACAAGCTAGGTGTCCCGACAATCCATCCCAGCCGGTACTAGCCAAACAGTCATGTGGATGGCCATTACTTCATCCGCACACGCGAAGATGAACTGTTTGTGTGCAAGGTTACCGAGGATACTAATATTTCGTGACTGCTAGAAAGCGTCATCGGCTGAGCCCGTGACCTAAATGCGCATTAACACGCACTCGTGGGGGCGCCAATTTGATGCCCCCCGAAGCCTTCTCCGGAATGATTTCCGAATGAAGCGGCTTACCCGTGCCAAATTTTGCACAGCTGTAGACAATTGAATAGCGGATCGTTTGGCATCAGCAAATTTAGGTGCACCTTGTAAGATCACTGACCTGCGGCAGGTCAAAGTCAGGCTATGCACCCACGGAGACAGTTTCGTGGGAATCGTTCAGTCTAATGCAACAAGGGAGCGCTAGGCGAGGGCATGTATTTCTATAGGGGTTTCCTAAGCAGCACAGTAATTGAATTAAGAAGTTCCATTGACCTAAAGGCAGGTATAGCAGTCACACCAAGGTTAAAATCCACCGTCTTATTACCCCAGCTCGCTGTATGCTCGCTGTATGGTGTAGTTTCTCGTGCTCATTTTTAATTTATTGATACCAGGAACCGCATTTACCTTCGTACATATAAATCAGTATCTTCCATGGTCTTCTTGAAGGTCAGAATAGGTCACTGACCTGAAAAAACCCGAGTTGAAATTTTGCTTTAGAAACATGCCGCTTATCGTAATCTAGGACGCTTGTTCAAATGCAAAAATCAAAGCACTCTT